CTTGATACTTGGGCTTATGTTTTGATATAATTGCCCTAAATTGGAATATATTACATATATAAACTTGGTATTTTATATCTAAGACTTGATTGAGCATTTAGTGGCAGCCAGAAGCGTAGCGCTTTCTTGAGGCAAACTCTCTCTACCCCGACAATAGACATACACATGTAAGCCAATAATTACTTGTATAAATAGGTAGAAGTAGATAGAAATAAATAAAAGTAAATTAATTCTATAATATCTTCTAAGAAAGCTTCTTAAAAGCTTTGACTTTATAGGTGTCCATTATTGACTTTTAGGTTAAAAACTTGATCAAAAAGTTAACCATGTCCCATACATATTGGTAGCTTGAAAAATAAGCTTACTATATAGTGAACATATAGAAAAACTTACCTTGTAAGTCAAAGCATGTGTCCTACAAAGTCAACACATATTAGAGATCGTAAAAAACATTGCCATGTAGTCCCTAGTTAGATAGTATATATAGAGACAAGAGTAAAGCCATCTTCACTCTTATTAACTCCTTTCTTGCTTCTAATCTAGTTTTAAGAGTCTCAAGTTTTCTTTTCTTTTGCAATAAGCCATTCCAGTTTCTATCTACTTCTACTTATTTATATCAGTGACTTCAAAGAAGGCATTTGGGAATTAGAAGCCAAGGTTATAAATTTTAGGATTTGGATTACAATATGTGTACAAAAATTAGAGGATTTGGAATTAGCGTGAAGAAGTTCTAGTTGTTTGAAGCTAAGATATTAATTTAAGACATACTATTACTCTTTTGAAGATACAAGGCATTTTAAAGTAGCTTTTGAAGATTGAAAAGTACACCTAGAATGGCGATTTTATGGCCTACATTTTTTATATAAGAATTATTGATTTTGGAATTCATATGAAGGAGTTATAGGGAGTTGAAGGTGATACTTCCAAATCAAAGGCAATAACTGAGCAGTTTTGTTCATAGTAATGGTTGGACCCACAACTTGAGTTTTTGGATAAATTTTTAGCTAAATCTTTCTAATGAATATAAAATTTTGTGTAAAAAAGTTATACATACAAGTTTTGTGGCATTTGAGCTTATATTTTGTGAGATATGAAGAAAATTGCTCGTAGGTGTATAAAGTTAAGGATTTAAAGCGACTGTTAGGATTTTCAAGATATCTCAAGATCCGCAATAAATTTGCAATTGAAATTTATTATAGAAGTTAATTAAAATACATCAGTACCTCATGTACAATTTGAATTTTTTTTGATAGTCGGATTAGAAGATATAAAATATTGAAGTTTGGAAAATTTTTAACGTAAGGATATACAAGGTTTTAGAAGATTTTATCATATTTTGGATGTTGTTGATTACTTGAGGCTTATATATTTGGTGTAATTGCTCGCAAAGAGAAATTTTATATATAAACTTTGTCTTTCTTATCTCAAGATTTGATTGAGTAATTAATGACACCTAGGAGTCTAGTGCTTTCTTAAAGAAAATTCTGTCTATCCCGACAACGTAGCCCCTAGTTAGATAAGATATATATATAGAGACAAGAGTGAAGCCCTATTCACTCTTGTCAATTCCTTTTTTACTTCTAATCTAGTTTCAAAAGTCTCAAGTTTTCTTGTCTTTTAGCAATAAGCCATTTCAATTTCTTTTTAATACACATACTTTTTTATTTCTATTTTGTCACTTTTTCTTTGACACAGATTTCATTAGTTTATGCATCATCTTCTAGTTCATGTCCTTGACAAAGACCTCCAAAACGTGTTGATTTTACACAAAACATATTTTAACTTGCAAGATAAGCTTTTTATATGAAAGCCACATAATTAGCTTGTTCTACAAGCTATTAATATGTGTGGTATGTGGTTAACTTGTTGACTAAGTTTGTAACCTATCAATCAACTATAAACATATATAAAGTCAAAGCAATGTCTATGAAGCTTTTCTAGAAGATATTATAAAATTAATTTATTTTTATCAACTTCTATCTATTCATATCACTTAGTTAATAATTATAATAAATATATGTCTATGACATTATTCCTTCTTTATGGAGACAAATTCCATAAAGAGCAGTGATTATATGTCAAAGAAATCCAAGATGTGGCAAATTATATTTGCCATGTATTTTGATCTTTATTCCCTTCAAAGATAGTTGATAGATCCTCTTAGCCATCTGTAATATATGTTATTCTAAGGTCAGAAGACCACCTTGTTATTTGGTCATTTATGAGACCTTCATAAGTTCCTTCAAACAAAAAATTTGTAACACCATCAAGAACTGTTTCTACCTCTAACATATCACCATACATTGAGACTTTCTTTTCAAGACATGATACCAAAGATGTTGTATCTTATCATTTATTCAAAGAAGAATATTACACTCTCAAAGTTCTTCATTCCTATTATGTCATCTTGAAGGATATGATAATTGAAATGTTTTGTCTGATAAGTTAGCAAATGATGGCTCTTCAATTAAATCTACTAGTTGTTGATTCTCTATCTCTTTAATGCCACAATTATACAAAAATTACAAACAAAGATAGAAAAAAGAATGCAATCTTTCTTAAATTGTATTTCTTTTATAGCAAAAGTTTGCTATCCTTTATCTTGGTTTTGATAGATGTTATTGATAAAAGTTTTTGACCTTCTCTACTATATTTGTAAAATTTTTTGCTGGCTTCTATGTGTATTTACTAATATTGTATCCATGCTAATGAATAAGATATTCCAACCTAAGTCGATGTTGCCTCAAGTCTAAAACTTCTTCTATCTCAAATTCCTGATTATTATCTATTTCTATAGGAGGTAGTATCATGTGATAACATGACTATAGAATAAAAAATAAAAATATAGATGTTATTATAGAAGAGCCTAAATAAAGATGTTGTAGAAAAATAAGGATAAATAATGGAAAGATAGTAAAATATTTAGTTTTAAAAATTAGATAGAAGTAAAAATAAATAAATTTGATAATATCTTATGGAAAAGTTTCTTAGAAGCTTTATAGATACTAATTTGACTTTATAAATTCTTATTGATGATTGGTAGATTAAAAATTTGTCTAATAAGTTGGCCACATGTTATATATATTATGTACTTATATATAAGTTGGTCATGTAGTATATAAGTTAGAAACTTATCTTCCAAGTTAAACAAGTGTTCTGCATGTTGGATACATATCAAATTACCTATAGAATATTTCTACATAGCTCCTTAATCAGATAGTATATATAGAGGCAAGAATGAGGCCTTTTTTACTTTTGTCAATATTTTTTTAGTTTCTAGTCTAGTTGTAAGAGTCTTTAGTCTTCTTGTTTTTGGCAATAAATATTCTATTTTTGTAGTATATATATATATATATATATATATATATATATATATATATTTTTTTTTTGTTGACTTTGACATAGTTTACAATTTTTTTTGTAGATCTTATTTAATTTTTTTTTATCTTTGTTAATATATTATTTTAGGTGATAGTAATAAAATAATTAATTCAATATTTTTCTTTTATATATGTGTAATTATTTTCCTAAAAAAGTCATTATGACTAGTTGTATGTTATGAATCTTAAAAAAAATTATAGATTAAATTTCTTATTTAAGACAAAATAATAAAAACATGTTATTATCTTATAAAGTTTTTTTTTAAAAAATGAATTGGCTAATATCTAAAATAAAATGTATTAATTAAAAAGTATGTAAATTTAATTTTTAATATATTCTTAAAATATATTTTGTCCTTTTTAGTTTACTAATTTAAAAGAAATATAATAAAAATTAATACATATATAAACAAGATCTAAAGATATACATGTAAGAAAATATGTGCAGTAAGAGAATACTTATTTTTCTAACTTATGTATAAATAAAAAATAAAATGATTTTTAATTTGTTTTGGAAAGACTGTATCTCAATAACTTTATTATTTTATAATATTTTTTACAAGATTTTTGTTATCAACAATTGGTTGTTTTTAGATTGATCTTATCAATTTTTAAAAACCACCAACTCTACCTACCACAATAAGATATTCAAATATTATAATCTAATGTTTTTATCTAAATAAATCATGTTTCAACCACCACAATAAGAATCGATATTTACATCTTATTAACCTAAATTAAAGTACATCTCAACAAAAAGTGATAAAAATAAAACCAAACAGATTTATAAAAATTAGAGTAGAAAATAAAAACAATAATAATTAAAAGATAGAAAACTAGAACTGCATAGTTAACTTTACTTGGAGTAGGCTTGTTGACATAACTCACACATTACTAATTTATTTTGAAAGCCAAAAAGAACAACAAATAATCATGAACAGTGAACACGTACACAAAGTCTTCAGTCACCCTCACATTAAATATAAAAAAAAGATAAAGAAAAAGAAAATTATGAACTCTATCCACACAAGCAAGGAGGACAAAAAGGGATCCGAGTGCCACGTCAGAAACACGAAGAAGACGCAACGAAAGGAGAGTGGGTGGGGGGAGCCACAATTCACTCACTCACGGCAAGCAAGATAGAATCTGCAGCAGCACCACGGCCCACCAGAATCTCTCTCTCTTTCTCTCGCTCTCTCGCATGGATTGGTCGGCTTCGTCTGGGCTTGGGGTTCCCCTTTCAGTCGTCGCAGTCTTACTTTTAGAATGTGCGTTGGGCTTGGAGGAGGAATGTGGTAGATTCCGATAACACCGCCGCCGCACCATAACCACGCTACAGATGATGAGGACGGTGACGATGAAAAGAAGAGGAGGGTGATCGTGGTGGTGAGCTGCCTGCGGGCGGGGGGGGGGGGGGGGTCGGGTGCACTTTACGGGAGCGGCACCGTCAGCTTCCGACGAGGCTGCTGCATCGGCACCGTCATCGAGACTCATGACCTTTTCCCCCTTTTCCTAATGAGGAGGGGGATGTAGAATCTTTCTTAGCTCTTTTTTGTAAGTGGTTAGTTGGGTCACTGGTTTGTCGCTGTAAAAATAAATAAAAAATAAAAATCCGCGTTTCTGCAGTGGGAATTCCTTTGCAGCTTACCCATCTGGATTTTTATATGTTTATCTGTTTCTATTCTGGAATTTGTTTTTGGCTTGGAAAGTTTCCTTGGTGTCTGTTACGAGTTTTGGGCGTTGGGCAGCGCGAGAGGTTTCGTGTGGGAAACAGCGAAGGGAAGTAGAAAGGAGAAGCTTGGCTCTGTGACGTTGTTTACTAGTCTGAGTTTTGTAGATGGAGGGTGGTTCCTGCCGGCTCTGCGCGCCTCGCCCCTCGGATCTCCTCATGAATTAGGCAACACCGGGTGTTGTGGAGTTGATAGAGGATTTTTGCATTTGTGATGCGGGTTGAATTTGCCCGGCGTTGGTGTTGTGCATAATCGGAGCGTTGGAAGGAGTGTGTGGATGATTCTAGGAAAATAGAGGGATTGAGATTGTTGGTAGTGATGCAGTGCTCAAGGGGAAGGGCGTTGTTGCTGGCGCCAGTTTTGGTGCTTTTGATCGTGAGTTTTGCTTCTGCCACCGTTGAGAGGAAGCGGATCCCGACGACATTGGAAGGGCCTTTCAAGCCTTACACGAAGGAATTCGATTCCAGCTTGCGCTCTGGAAGCGATGACTTGCCCCTGTACGATCCTCGAGTCGTCAAGCGTGTACCCGCTATTTTCCCCGAGCAGATCTTCATCGCTCTGTCCACGCCCGATGCTATGTGGATGTCTTGGGTCTCTGGTAGGCCATCTCAGTTGATTGCATCTTTGTTTCTTGTGCTAAAAGTCTTCGGATTTGCAAGAGTTTGTACGAGCCAATGCGGGTTTTTGATGGGGCATGTTTTGTGAGGCCCAGCTACACTTGGTTCTTCTCCTAATTCGTTCTGGTGTTGGAAGACATGATACCGAGAATAAAATACTTATGATCTTATTCTGGTTGGATCGTCTGCTTTTAGCGAAACTCTGGTAGAGATCTCTTTTAGGAGGTGGTCAGGAATTTTACGTGGAATAGCATTATTACACTGGATAGTTACAAAAACAACTCATTGTGAGATGACCTACTGTCGGTGGATCTTTGCAAAATATGTCCTGTTCTGAACTGGTGGGAACCCTAAATCGCTGGAATTCTGATTGCGGTCTCGTCACTCGAACTGCAATGAAGTTATAACACAGTTCGGATGTGTTGACGTTGCAGGGGACTGGCAAATGGGGCCGAAAGTGGCACCGTTGGACCCGACCAGTGTGAAGAGTGTTGTGCAGTATGGCACTACTTCTGAAAAGTATACTATGTCTTCAAATGGAACGGCCGAGGTTTACAGTCAGCTATATCCTTTCAATAATGTGCTCAATTACACGTCCGGAATTATCCACCATGTCCGCATTACTGGTAATTATAATCATTTTCTCTGATATCTTGAGTGTCCAGCTGCCTGAGCAAAATATTGAAATGGTTTTGTTAATTATGAACTACAGAGGATGAAGGTAGCACCACCCAACACGATGTGGGTCTGAGATACATTACCTAATACCGTCCTGGAATTAAATTTGCTTGCTTGTTTGAGAATTATCTGTTCTGAGCTGGTTTCCAGCACCAATTTTAGCCTAATCTGCTCAACAATGAAACAGGACTGAAACCAAACACAAAATATTACTATAAGTGTGGGGACCCAACGTTATCTGCCATGAGCGGTGAGCATTCATTTACGACCCTGCCAGCACCAGGACCTGCCAATTACCCAACCCGTATTGCTGTAATCGGAGACCTTGGCTTGACATATAATTCCACTTCGACTGTTGATCATATGATTGAGAACAATCCAGATCTTGTTCTTATGGTGGGAGACATGTCATATGCAAATTTGTACATTACTAATGGAACCGGCACCGATGATTACGGTCAAACTTTTGGGAAAGATACTCCCATACACGAGACTTACCAACCTCGCTGGGACATGTGGCAGAGGTGTGCATACCTCACATCTATTCTTATGCTGCGTTTATGATCCCGCTCGTTTCTACTTCAGGAAAGCATTTTTCATTGAGCTTATTGAATTTTGTTTTGAACAGAATGGTCGAGCCGTTAGCGTCGAGGGTCCCCTTTATGGTTATAGAAGGCAACCATGAGGTTGAGTCACAAATCAACGGCGAAAGCTTTGTGGCGTACAAGGCTAGGTTTGCGGTTCCTCATGCAGAGAGTAACTCGGATACCAGCATGTACTACTCTTTCAATGCGGGTGGTATCCATTTTGTCATGATTGGATCCTACGTTGATTACAATAAGACAGGTAAGACTCTCTAGAAGTCCTGGAATAATGTTTCTAGATATTAAGGCAAGGAAACTTTAGAGGTATTGTGGTCATGATTCCGCCTTTGAGACTTGCTGGCCGAAGTACGATGGAATTTACTGCGTTTGGGTACATTGTTAGTTTTTTTGATCATTTTTGAAGAGTATTTTGTGTTTCGAGTATTGCTTAGTGTTGTGGTTGAAAAACAGGTGAGCAGTGTCGCTGGCTCCAGGAAGATCTTGCTAAGGTGGATCGGGCTGTAACGCCATGGATTATTGCATTAACACATGCTCCGTGGTATAATAGCTACCTCGCTCATTATAGAGAAGTTGAATGTTTTCGACAATCTATGGAGGATCTTCTGTACAAATACGGGGTTGACGTCATGTTCCATGGCCATGTACGAACAGCTGAACACCTCTCTTTTTGCACAAGTTTTTCCGGTCGTTGTAGCAACTTGTAAGAGTGAGACCTTCGCTTATAAAGTGTCACGTAGGCCTTTCATTTGCTGAACATTGCAACTACTACTAGTGATAGGTGGTTGATTTATGAATTTATTTTAGCTCAACTTATTTGCTCTACGGTCGAGTGGTTTGATTTTTACACGTCCTTTCATGCCGCAGGTGCATGCTTATGAACGAATCAATCGCGTGTACGATTACAAGTACGATCCTTGTGGTCCTGTGTATATCACAGTTGGCGATGGTGGCAATGGTGAGAAATTGGCTGTACCTCATGCAGACGAACATGGTGCATGTCCTGATCCATTAAAGACCCCAGACTGGAGTTTTTCACATCTTAGTGGCTATTGTGGTTTCAACTTTACCAATGGCAAGTTTTGCTGGGACAAGCAACCCGCCTGGAGTGCCTGGCGGGACAGCAGCTTTGGACATGGCATCATAGAGGTCAGTATTGAATTTGTACATTTTTCGCTTTTCTGCATCATTTGTGCTCTTGGTGCTTGTTGCCTTTTCACTCGCTCGGAAAGTTCGCAATCAAGATAATGCAATGTTTTGAATTTAATTGGGGTTAAAGCCTTTGGCACTATCGCCAACTGTGATGTTCACTGGACCAATGCCTAGGTATTATTGTGAAAACTGAATGCGGAATTGGTTCAGTCAGAGTCTCATGTCTACTTGTTGTAATAACAGGTAGTAAATAGCACGCACTTGCTTTGGACTTGGCATCGAAACCAAGACGAATTCGATGAAGTCGTCGGTGATCAAATTTACATAGTGCGTCAACCTCACGTCTGCAGTAACCAGAACGTGTTGCAGAGGAACAAAAATATGCTTTCCTTCAGGAACAGTGATCGAAGTCAAATGTCATGATCGACTCTTGTATCGATCACATGCAGCTTTTGCATCGAGGGTCAGAGAAACCACCACCGCTTCATAAACCTTCTACAACTGTTAACTGGTCAGGTCTGGGCTTCACTTTTTCGAATGGCATGTTTCTAATGTGATTAATATCTTCCGGGTAAATCATTTAGTATTGCTTAGAAGGCTAAGGCTATGAACCAGAAACACTTTGTCTTTTTTGGGTACAATTTATCATGGGTCACAATATTTTCCCGAAGTCTGCGCAGCTTCATCTCTGTCAATGGACTAGAGTTACAAAATATTTTGTGCTGTCATAAAAGAAGGAAGCATTTTGGGTGGAGAAAATCATTTCGTTACATAGAGTGTGGGAGTGGTCTTTCTTGGTGATGGATTCATTACAATGACTCTAAAGTTACCTGTTCATTTCTATCTTTAAAAAATGTTTCATCTGCACCTTCACAACAACGAATGAAATAAATATCAAATGGAACAGTGATCTTTTCAATGTTGAAGTTTAATTTTAATTTGTTTTCTTATTTTCATTCAACTATTTTGACTTGCATTCATTTCACCTTTTTGGTTTTTGTAAATTTTAATTGATTTTTAATCCAGAACAATTCTCAATTAATTAAGTGCTACAATATGTGATATATATAATTGTGATATTTAATTGAAAATAAATGATATGAGTTGTGATGATTTTGGATTTCATTAGTAATTTTAAAATTTTCTTACTGATAATTTTTTCAACAAATCAACTTTTTACTAACTTGTAGTTTTGAAAATATTTAAGAAAAACAATTTCCAGTTAGTATGGATAATTAATACGTTTTTTTTTTTTTTTTTTTTTTTTTTAAATATTCCACATTGCATGTTTTATTATTTAATGTTTCTATAATTATATCAAAATCTTAATTTTATATAAATAAGTTCTTTTGCAAATTTTGAACAATCACATCTTTTATTTATTTTTTAAATATTATTCTTATTTTTTTCTCCCTTGTGATCATTTATCATGGTTTTTTTTTTTTTTTTTTTTTTTTTTTTATAATACAGAATAAAAATAAATTATATTCGTTACATACCTCTTTAAAAATGCTTAGTGGTTTTACCAAAAAAATAGTTTCATCATTTTAATATTGTTTAAGATTAGTGATGTCTTAGTAAAAATACAAATAAGAAAGTGTAGTAGGTGGCAATACAAATCTGAAATATTGTGTAAACACATCTTGAAGTATTGATGAGAGATTATAGACTGCCCAAGGTTGTGGTGTTTTGAATTTTTTTTCAAGAGATGCTACAACATGACAAGAAAGAGGACTCTAAAGTAGCAATTAGGACTTTTTTAGACCTTTGTAAAGACCATGAAGCTTGCACCCTCTCAATTCTAGGATGTTGAAAAACAGTTTTATTAAGAGTTGTATAGAAGAAGTAACAGGTGTTTGATTGAATAGCACTGTAAAGACAACATGATTTATAGGAGTCTTAATTTTTAAAGAATATGACACTTGTAATTTTTTGGAATAAAATAAGCAAGAACTTTAATTTTTTTTGTGTAAAATATTTATGAATTCAAATACTATTTTTATAATAAAAGTAACATTATATATATATAAAAAATAGAGTCAAATTAATGTGTAAAAGAATTTGTAAAGAAACAAAATTATGTTAGATGAATCCAAATAACATTGAGAATATTTCTAAAAAGAAAAAGAAAAAGTAAAAATATTATATTTGTAGGAGATACTATAAATGACAATTGACTACCCTTTTTAAGTGTATTGACACAACAATTGAGTATACAATGACTTAAATATAGCATTCTTTTTTTTTTTTTTAAAGTGGGATTGGAATTTCTAATAGGCAAGTCATATTGGAACTTGATTTTGTTCTTGTTTCTCCACAATTTATATAATATCAAATCTATCCCTACCTATTGTGATAATTGCAAAAATGCCCCTCAACTTGATAACCTATCTATTTTGAACTGGTGGCGGGAGCGGCACTTTTCCTTACTTTCTGGGCCCTACATAAACCGGACGCCGCCGCCTCTGTTGCAGTCGCAAAAATTCCGACACTGCATCAACGAGCACCGGAGTAAGTTTCAAGCACCAGGGCTCCTATAAATTAAATTAAAGCGAAGCATCCGCTTCATCTTCGGCGCCTTTGTCCGTCTTGTGCAGTTCTTCCTCCTTCGGTTGCGGCAATTGTAGCTACTTCAATTGTAGCACTTCCTCCTCCTTGTTCGATTGCAGTTCATTGCAGCCACTTTGATTGCAACACTTCCTCATCCTTGTTCGATTGCAATTCATTGCAGCCACTTCAATTGCAGCACTTCCTCCTCCTTCTTTGATTGCAGATCATTGCACCCACTTCGAATGCAGCACTTCCTTCTCCTTGTTCGATTGCACTTCATTACAGCCACTTCGATTGCAGCACTTCCTCCTCCTTGTTTGATTGCAGTTCATTGCAGCCACTTCGAATGCAGCACTTCCTTCTCCTTGTTCAATTGCAGTTTATTGCACCCACTTCGATTGCAGCACGTCCTCCTCCTTGTTCGATTGCAGTTCATTGCAGCCACTTCGATTGCAACACTTCCTCCTCCTTGTTCGATTGCAGTTCATTGCAGCGACTTTGATTGTAGCACTTCTTCCTCCTTGTTCGATTGCAGATCATTGCAGCCACTTTGATTGCAGATCATTGCAGCCACTTTGATTGCAGCACTTCATCCTCTTTAATCGATTGCAGTTCATTGCGGCCACTTTGATTGTAGCACTTCCTCCTCCTCCTGTGTTTTCAGCTCTTTGTGGAGACAAGTACTTAAGTTTCTTTTTGCGATTTATATTTGTGATGTCTTGGCCAAGTACAGTGAGTATTGATGGAAAGAGTGCATTTGGTTGTCGCCTCCAAGGCGATCGAACAAGGAGAAGGAAGTGCAATGAAGTGCAATCGATTACCCATCTGGCCAATTGCAAAATGTGGGTGGGTCCTCGGACTAAGTCATCTGCCTTATATCCTCTCAACTTGATACCGCTTTGACATTGTGATGCATTATTTTTGATAAGTGCTTAAACAGTTTTTCTTGCTGAAAGATAATGACAGTGTAATTTCTCTTTTCATGAATACTTTTGTCCTGTAAACTTGTATGTTATAAGTTATAAGAACCACATAATCCAACTGGCATAGCTACCAAATCGATTATTGATTTGAAGTGAATGGAAAGAAGGTAGGTTGGATGAAGTTAATCATGGTATGTGATTTTGGATTGGAATTGGCATTCAAGGCATGATCCACAAAATTCTCTACATCTTTATAAAGACCCTTCCACCAATATCGCTCCTTGATCTTTGTTTATGTAGCCCAAACTCCTCGATGCCTAGTCCAATGTGAATCATGAAATTCCTTCAAAACTTGAGCTTTGGTACAAGCATCTCTAACTACCTACAACAGTACTCCATCCTTTTTTTTTGGTTTTTTTCCAAAGAAGCCCATCTTGTAGAAAATATCCATATGAATGTTGCTTGATTTCTTTAAAAACCTTATTTGACTAATCTTGCAATTTTCTAAGCATATTCAAATACAGGCTAATATCTTTCAATTTTCCTTCATATAATTCAGCCTCAAAAGATAGAACTTCTTCCATTCTCTCACTACTTGATGAAAATACATAATCCAAATCCATAATGCCACTATCTTCATTGTCTTCTTGAGCAATCATTTCTTCTCTATCCATATACCTAGTTCTTCATAACATATCTTCTACTACATTTTCTTTGCCTTTAATGTGAATCAAAACCAGATTTAGAGATCTAATGTAAGCTATCCATCTTAGCATAGCAATATCAGGAGTTGAGTAGTTAGATATCATATCGAGTAAAGGTAAAAAATCACCCTCTAATAGCACATTTGTTCCAATCAAATAATTTCTTTCTGCTTTCAATATTGTGATTGTACCCCACAACTCCCTTTTCACTTATGGATATGCCCTCTGGTACTTTGTTAAGATTCTTGCTCCAAATCTAATAGCAAATTGATTCCCACTAGCATCACCTTATCCAAGAATCCAACCTATAGCAATAGGACTAATATCCACCGTTGTCGTAATACGTGGCATTTGACTTGAGAATGCACCGGATACTTGGCTGTGGAAGATAAAAGAAAAATTACAACAACAAGCACTAATAACTCTAATAGATTCTTAAACAAATTATAATTAAAGATTAGAAAATATAATCAAATATCAATAAAATTCAATCAAAATTTCTAAGAAATTATGTAAGAAATACAAAGTATTTATAGAAATATTTTAAAGAATCACAAAATAATAATATAGAAATTCAAAAATATACTAAAATATAAATCTTGATAAAATATTAAAATAGAAATTTTAATTAAATTCTAGTCAAAATCTAATCAAATTCTAGTCAAATCCTAGTCAAATCCTAAATAAACCCTAATTGTATCTTAAATAATTCCAAGTAATTTCTATAGCAGATTTAAACCTCAATAACTAATGAATGAATCATTGATTTTAACTCATATTTTGCACACCTCTTAACAATTAAGTTAAAAACAAGTACAATTTTTTTGAAAAAGATCAAACTTACTAAAAAGAAGATTGATCCTAATATTTGCTCGGATATTGGCCGGCCTTCTTCTCCAATGTTGAATTTTGAATGTGAATGTTGAATTTTCAGTGTCAATATTTCTTTATTTAATTATTCAATTGATTTTAAATCTTACATATTTAGAAAAATAAGTCTACCAACCACATACATAATTTTCACTCCAATTGAATCAATAGATTGCAAGAAATCTTAGAAACTCTTATGAGGCCTAAAACTCTTCTTTCTGAGACCCCAACCTACTTAAACCTCAATAATCTTCAATCCAATCCTTCAATCAAGCTCAAACTCACAACATATATTGAACACATATAAATCCACAAATCTTCAAAAATTCACTTATAGATCTATTGCCAAACTTATAGAATTCTCCAAAAAGTATCTCTCATTTTATTTCACAAATCTAGAGTCACCCAAAACAAACCTTAACTTTGCAAAGTCCTTACAAAGTCAATACAAATCCAAATCACCCAAAACCAATGTTCATCAAAATCTTATTAAATCTACTCTATAATTCTATTCTTTGATCTGCCAAAGATTTCTAGAATTGTTGTTGAGGCTTGGTTTTGTGCCTTGGAATTTGATTTTGACTTTGGTTCATAACCAGCCCTCTTTGGATATCAATGTCTAGTTTTTTATATGATTTTTTTTAGAATTTATTCTTAACTTCTTTCTAAAGATGCTTATATCATTTATTTTTCCAATCTACTATATTTTGCCTTATTTATGGCCCTAAAAAATAAATAGAAGTCACTTTTTAAAAAAGATAATATTACTATTAAAAGATTTATTATCTTCTTATATTTTATCTATATTTTTCTATTTTATCTTTAACTTAGCTCTTCTATAATAAGATCAATATTATTATCTTTCATCATAT